TACCCCCAGAACTAAATCAATGCGAAACTCCACCTGCCTCTCGGGAGGCACACCCGAAAACTCCTCGGGAAATACATCCGGGAACTCACGCACTATCGGAACATCATCAAATAAACTTGGCCTTCTCGCGGCCTCCGATGTATCCATCACATAAGCTACGAACCCCTTGCAGCCCTACTGCAAACTATGCCTCGCTCTGGTAGCCGAACATAATGCTGACCTACTTTGAGTTCCCTCGCCATAGACTGTCAGCACTCCCCCACTAGGACCTCGAATCGTCACCAATTGCTGCTCGCAGTCTATCACAGCCCCAAATCGACTCAACCAATCCATGCCCATGATGACACATATGCCCCCCATCGCAATCAGGACCAGATCTATCAGATACCCAATGCCGAAAATCTCAAGTACACACCCTCGAATCACGTCCGTGGCATACACTGCTCGCTCGTTAGCTATAGAAACTTGTAGAGGTTGACTCATCGCCTCTCTCTTGATACTGATGTGTCTACTGAATGCTAATGAAACAAATGACCGACTCGTACCCGAGTCAAACAACACCAAAGCAGGTACAGAATTCACAAGGAAAGTACCTACGCATATCATAATATAAACACAAGATCTCATCATAAACAAATAATAACAGAATACATACCAGCCACGATGTCGGGTGTTGCGCGGACCTCCTCCACTGTCAACTAGAAGGCTCTCCCGCGAGCCTTCGGTACCTCGGCCTTCATTGGCCGAACCTCAGTAGCGCACACGGCGGCAGGGGCAGATCCCTGTTGTGCTCCCTGTGTTGTCCCTCGCAACTGCGGACACTCGGCCTTCCGATGGCCCTTCTGGTTGCAATGAAAGAAAACCATGAATCCATTGGGGCAGTCCTTGAATATATGCCCCTCCTTGCCACATTTGTAGTAAGCACCAGATCAACAAACTCCATCATATCCCTTACCGCACTTTCTGCAAGTGCGGCCCTTCTGGCCTCCAGATCTCGAATCGGCGGGCTTTGCCCACTTGGCTGCCAGCTGAGACTGTGTCGGCCACCTATCCAACCCCTGAGACTTGACCTCCTCCCTGACCTGAGTCTCCAACTCAAACTCCCTCTTCCGGGTATTTGCCTGAAGCTCAAAAAATGTCCGATAATTCGAGTTCGATACGAACTCCCGAATGTCCCTCCTCAGAATGCTCAAGTACCGGCTCATGCGTGCCTGCTCAGACGACACGTGCTCAGGGCAGAACATCGCCCTCTCATGAAACTTCCTGGTGATCACGTTCACTAACTTAGTACCCTGCTTGAGGGTCAAGAACTCTTGGGCCAACCGTTCCCTTTCCACCAGGGGAACGTACTCGTCTCTGAACATAGTGGTGAACCTCTCACAGGTCACCGCTGAGATCTCCGCAAAAGTAAGATGCATCGTCACAAATTTCCACCAATCCTTCACTCCCAAGCGAAGCTGGTTCAGTGCAAACCGAACCCTCAGATGCTCTGGACATGAACATGTGTAGAAGCATCCCTCGATATCAGATATCCATCTCATCGTAGCAATCGGATCCTGCTTCCCATCAAACTCTGGTGGCTTTGTGTTGCTGAACTCACGATACAGCAACGAGTTACCCCCTTGCGGCCTGGCAGCAGCGACAGCTGCGATAACAGCAATGTCAATAAGAGAGCGTACCGCTCATCAAAAGTCTCAATTAGCGTGGTCTTGATAGACCCGAACATCTCTAGTATCTCAGCTCGGATGGTCGCAACCACCTCATCATGAATCATCTGGTGCAGTTCATCGCTCACACCCCCTCGCTAGTCCCTGGTCTGTGGCGTGTCCCAACCATGATGTCTCTGAAATACAACATAAAAATATCAGGGACTCGCTCGAGCGTACTCGCACATGATAACTCAACCCTACTTGTTTCCTAGTATCCTAAGCGTTCCTACTTGGACTGCACACTGATCCGGTGTTTCCAGTAGTATGGGCCCTATACTACCTTCCATACCGCATCAGTATTCATTCCAATCCACCCTCCAAGGATCCCAAGTCACAAGTACTCTATCTCTTGCCACACATAAGCTACCCTTCGGTAAACCCTCATAGCACCTCACTGCTACCTATTCACTCACAAGCATCTCATAGCAGCAGAAATCTCCCTAGTCTAAGGCATCAAAAATCAGGCCATTCTAGTCCTAATATGAATACCTAGCTTACTCTAGCATGCATAACACATCACAACATATTTCTTAACACTTAATGTAAGGGTAATTTGGGAAATCAGCGTTCGGGCGTTGGATGATCGTACACACTACTTTCTTATGTTTCCTCAATTCCTTTTTATTCTTTTAGGAAAAATTGTTTATTTATGAAAACTTCCTCAAATCCTCAGTTTGAGTTCAAATACACCCGAAGATGAATCCGAATCCCTCAAACCAAGGCTCTGATACCAACTTGTAACACCGTGAAATTTCAAAACAATTTTTCATTTTTAAATTAATAAAATACTCCAATCACAATTCTCAAAATGTGTATCAATTGTTTTTACATAACATAAGTGCAAATCAAAATCCCCAGAATCTCAAAACATCTCCACCATAAGTGTGTACTGATCATGCCGGCGCCTTCCCGCGATCATCACTGGTACCTGAAACACATAACACGCAAACGGTAAGCAATAATGCTTAGTGGGTTCCCCAAAACACCACGTACATCACATACACCTTTCCATGCCATAACTCTATGGGATCTTCCGTTCCAAGAATCTAATGGGATTTCCATCCCATAACTTTGTTGACCTTCCAGTACATGCTCTGTTGACCTTCCGGTCCATATCATCATACTCATATCATAACATATTACATATACAACATACATCACATTTTCATCATACACATAAGACCTTCCGGTCACATATAATCACCCCATCGGTAAGGCATAGTGAGAAGACTCACCTCGAAGATGTCGGATAATCACTCACGCTCAATCCTCCAACCTAGCTTCCTCCTATAGCATAAATACATCTCTAATTAATACCTTCCTAACTTAATTTGACTAATGCCCTTAAGTCAACACAAAGTCAACTATGGTCAACGTTGGTCAATGGCCACCCCATTGACCTAACTCGTCGAGTCAGGAACTGACTCGGCGAGTTCAGACGTGAACTCAAGTCCCCTAAATCCCCCTCTGACTTACTGAGTCCCTCTCCCAACTCGGCGAGTCATCAACTGTGTGAGTCACGGGACAACCGATCCGACTCGTCGAGTCTGCTCATGGAATCGGCGAGTTCATTCCATGCTCGAACTCAAATAGCCTTTTGAGGTCATATCTGTTCCTCTAATCCATATATCTGACCTTCCCAAGCTCAATAAACATGTAAAGGTTCAAACTTGATACTCATGCATCGCCCAAATAACTCTTGAAGCATTTGCCCCAAATACAACATCCTAAGCCCATTTATTCCATAACTCATCATAAAGCAAGATGGATAAAGCTCTTTCGACCACTATGGGTCCAGATCCGAAGTCTAAACATGATAAGGGACCATATATCCAACAATCATCCCAATAAATGGTATAGAAAACCCTAGATCCATGGATTCTTTAACAAAACCGAAAAAGGATCGATATGCTACCTCAAGGATGATATTTTTTGCTTGAGATCCACAGATATGCAACCTTCTTGGCCTCCTCTAAGATGGAACCACCTTTTTCTTGCAAAACCAACCCACAAAGATCAAATAATGGCTTCTTTCCTCTCACAACGATCAAGCACTCTTAGGGTTTCTCTCAAGGGTCTGGTAACCGCAAATGGTGGCTATAAGGGTCCTTAAATAGGTCCCAAACCCGAGAAATTAGGGTTTCTTTCGCCAGCTCTAACTCAGTGAGTGCATTCCCCTGACTCGTCGAGTCTAATCATTTTCCACGTCACCCATTCTCGACCTGACTCGACGAGTCTAAGCACCAACTCATCGAGTCACCTCAACACAATTCAAATTATAATATTAATTAATGTACCTGGGAAACTGGGCGTTACAAATTTAATATCATATATATGATATTTAAATACTTTACATATATAAGTATATGAATTTAATTTTAAAAATTGAAACAACAAAAAATTAACAAGTGGATAATATTTATTTCAAAAATATCATAAAATGACAAGTGTCAAAACTCATGAGAGATTGACATGTGGCAAAAAAGCTTTCATTTATTAAGGAGGATGGATGGATTTAAAGAAAAAAGTCACATGGTTCAATCGATGCTACAATTATGAGAAAATGCGATGCTCTGATGCTGACGATGAAGAGCTTCTTCAATACGTGAACGGATATTACCTGTGCCGGTTTGATGAAACTGATTTCGAGTATACAGACGTTTGGAATCTGGTTAAAAATAAACCCTTTTTTTATGTAAGTGACTCTTTTATTCATAATGTTTTATGTAATGTTTGTTAGTCGTACATCTTTTAATCGTAATGTTCTATGTAATGTTTGTTAGTCGTTCATCTTTTATTTGTAATGTTTTGTGTAATGTTATTATATTATTTCTAATGTTTATTTTGTTTGAATGTATCGTAATATATGTTGGTGAATTATGTTTCAAAAAATAGAGGATAAAACACATATTTATATTAAACAAAACTACTAAAAACCAAGTATTTCATAATAATGTATACAAACTTCCAAAGATCAAGTTATTTAGTATCCCAAATAATACTTGTCATCCTATTTTTGTAGAGAAATCCCACATCTCTACATGGCTTATCACTCTTTACCGGTACTCCCAAAACAATCATTTACATATACATGCTTCCACAAGCCCCTCTATTAAGAATATATTCATGTTGTGATGCGTCTACAATATCAATAAACTCCACAACTGCGTTGTCTTCGTGTCCATCGGGGAAATCGTTCCAGTAGTCAATGACATCTAGCTCTGAGATAATACTATCCTCAAAACTTTTGAATTCTCCACCAGTCAAGTATTGTGTGAAGAAATTCATAGTTCATGCTGAATCATAAATGTGTACTTTCCAAATATCTAAATGTAGCACTGCCAAAAACCAATGGATATGAGGAACATTTATGGGGAATAGAACCTGCAAACAAAAAAAAATAGTCATAAATTCAGTTCCTAAATAAAAAATAATTAATAAACTTAACTAACCATCTCCATATCCTTCCATTTAGGATGGTCTCCAACACGATTTGCTATATTCCTAAGAAAAAATGATTTTCCGTTTTGCAAATTGAGTTCTTGAGGGAATATCGTCAATCTTGTGTTTGTCGGCCGTCTTTCCATGAGCAAGGCACTCCATATTGCAATATGCTGTACATTTTAAGATAAAAATGTTACAATTTTTTATATAAATTATCGTCTAAAAATGTAGTTAAAAATTATATTTAACGAATGTTACCGAACAAATTAACCACCCAATGTCAGTAACTGCAAGTAGCCTCAACCAAAACTCCACATCTAGTGTGAGAATATGCAACCTATGTTTAGTGTTTAGGTTGGAAGAGATCGTATTCCACTTTCTCCAAAAACTCAACGTACTGGTAGCTTCAAGATTGTCGAGCAGGATATGATTTTGAACATCATTATTCTCTTTATTCACAATGTCTTCATTTGCTTTTTCAGGACTCTCCACTACTTTTTTTTTCTTTGGTGATTTTCTTCAATTTTGGTGTGGATTGCAACTAAAAAAATTAACATGTTAAATAATTATCAATACGTTAATATTTTAAAAATATACCAAATTTAAAATATAAGTTTTGTACCACTATGAACGGAGTCCGCTGATATCATGGAACACCCCTCTTTCGTTGCGGCCTAACAATAGGAGGCATTTCTTTTGTGTGATGTTCACCCACGTCCGATGACGGCTCAACATGCGTAGATGTAGGCCCAAATTCCCCCTCCAAACCATGAGTACCTATATCATCATAATGCAAATGTGTATCATGGTAATATTTTTCTTCCTCCTCTTCATTTATCATCTCCTCCTCCTCTCGAAACCCTCTGTCTGGTTCAATATTTCTGTCGGGTTCATCTTTTTTCTGTAATACATGATCTACTTTAGAAGTTAAGTCAGCCACAACGCCTAGTAGACGCTTCACTAATGCCTTTGTGCTCGTCTTCTTCTTCTTTACCCACCTTGATGTGTCGTTTGACATATAACTTGTTTCTATTTCAGGATGTTGCGAGGAAGAAGCATTTGTGCCAGATTCAATCGAAGATGTTTCTATTTCGGACTTGTACATCTTTCTTTGAGCAGGCGAGGCAACAACAGGTGGACTATTTACGACCAGACTCTACTGCCGTGGGGGAGACTCTATAGGTTTAAGAGTCGAATTGACATAACAAACATAAAACGACAAAATCGGCTCCTCCGGGCTTGCCACACCATTAATAGGTTGGTTGTTAGGCTGCAGAAATCAGATTGTTAGTTTAACATGAAAATACATTGGAATTTGTAACTAAAGATGATCGTTAATATAAAAAGCATACCACATACACGTTGATTATTCGACAACATTGAAGCCAAGATAATGATGTTTTACTTCTCTACGCCCTCATCGATGGCAATTTTATCGGCGTGCGTATATAAAATTGGGTTGCCTCTAAGAACGTCTCCAAAATCCATATCTATGAAAAAAAATGTAAGTATCATGCTATTATACTATAAAAGTCATAATACAAAGTTATTATATAATACAAACCGAAGTTCAAAGTTTTTATAGTATAAAAAATTAATCATTGATAACTATTTAAATGCATTAGAAAGTACCCCTAAACAGAAGCATAAAACCGGGAACGGTATACTTGTGTACTTTATTGGATTCGGGATTTGCCTGCTTGAATAGTCTAAACTTGTCACACCCCCAAACCAGAATGGAGGAAACATTCGGGGGTGGATGACTTCACGTAGTATCACAACGATTGAATATTGTAAAGAAAGTAACACAACCATCATATATATAAAAATGAAAACGTATATTGTTGCGTTATACATGTTATCAAAAGAATATTACAATATGATGATAAATGTTTAATGATAAAAACATCCTTTGTGTTCCTTCTTCCAAAAGCTGGTAGTTTACCTGTATCACTGATTCCCTGAGAAATACAAGTGGTTTTGAAAAGTGTCAACAATTAAGTTGGTGAGTTCATGAGTGTTCCGAGTTAAAAATTTGCATTTATGTTTGTAAAATGATACTTTTAACGTGTAATGTACTTGTATTTCCCCCCTAAAACATGAAAAATAATTGAAAAGTAGGGGTATGAACTCACCCGTTAAGTTTGAAGAGAGGGGCTAGAGTTGAGCAGAGTTTCGATCGCGGATAGTGGCGTCGTCGGGCTCTTCGGGGATCTCTGCAACGTAAATCTTTCGTCGGGGGCTCGAGTGCGGAAACCGAGGTAAGGGGAGGGTCTCTAGAGCTTAGAAGTATGAGAGAATGGCTGGGAAATGGTGAAGGTGTGCCTAAACTCGAAGCTTATGCCTTCCATTTATAGGGCTGGAAAACCCCGTACGCGGCGCGTACTTCCGGAGTACGCGGGGCGTAATGTGGCGTCATGGCTTACGACTCGGGTCTAGCCAGGGTAGCTTGGGCGGGTCGATGGGACTACTGGGTCTAGCCGGGCGTAGCTTGGGCGGGTTGATGAGACCCGACTCTGGGTCTAGTACGCGGGGCGTACTCCCAGAGTACGCGGGGCGTAATCCCTGCTTCCGACTTCTAAATTCCGTAACTTTCGCGTACGAGCTCCGTTTTTCGCGTTCTTTATATCCACGCGTAGGTGAGATTATGCTCTACAACTTTCATTTAGACTTCGTCGGCTAGTTTTGACTTTATTTTTAATGATATAATTTTAATAGGCCGGGCCTCCTAAAGTTCGTTAAAATTTCATAGGTTCTTTATTCGACGTTGGTTTTCGTTTGTCTTTTGATTGTCTTATTACCACCGAGAAGATCTTCAACTTCCGTTTAGGTGGCGATAGCTAAATAACACTCGATCTTTAATCCGAGTTTTTAGCCCTTTACTACTGTTACGAAACTTTGAAAATTCGTAACTTCTTCATACGAGGTCCAATTTGGGCGATCTTTTTATGCACGCTCATCTTTCAACGAGATCTACGACTTTTGTTTAGATACTTTAAGGCTAAAATGTATTTTATTGAGATTCCACTTTTTACGTCAAATTATGTTTTAACGTCGTGTCGTAATTATACGAGTAGTTATAATTTCTTTAATATAACTCGGTTTTGAGTGTTCTTTATGTTTTTGGAAACCTGGGCATGATATTCAATATTCGATGCATCCCAACTTAGATACCTGAACACTTTATTGTCGAGGTTAATTTCGTTGTTTTTAGCTTTCGAGTGTTTACAATGTTTTTGGAAAAATAGGGTTGTCACATCATCCCCCTGTTAAGGGAATTTCGTCCCGAAATTTAGTCTAAGATAGATATTACAAATTAGGAAAAAGATGCGGGTATTTCTGTTTCATTTGATCCTCTCGTTCCCAGGTGTATTCAGGGCCTCGCTTGGCGTTCCAGCGGACCTTTACGATAGGTATGCGACTTTGTTTAGTCCTTTTGACTTCCCGATCCATGATCTCTACTGGTTCCTCTACAAATTGGAGGTTTTCGTTTATTGCAATTTCGTCTAGAGGGACGACAAGGGTCTCGTCGGATAAGCATTTCTTCAGGTTTGATACATGAAAGGTAGGGTGTATATTGTGGAGTTCCTGAGGTAGTCTAAGTTTGTAAGCCACTGGACCGATCCTCGCAAGGATCTCGAATGGTCCGATGTATCTGGGGTTCAGTTTCCCACGTTTTCCGAAGCGTATCAATCCTTTCCAAGGCGAGACTTTTAGTAGTACACGGTCTCCAACTTGGAATTCCAAGGGTTTTCGTCTCTTATCTGCATAACTCTTTTGTCTATCCCTTGATGCCTTTAGACGTTCTCGGATTTGAACAATCTTCTCCGTAGTTTCTCGTATGATTTCTGGCCCAGTAAGTGTGTTGTCAGTTGCTTGTCCTTTTGCTAGTTGGTGTCCCCACTTCGGCCCAGCATAAAGGTGACCTGCACTTGCGGCCATAGAGGGCTTCGAACGGGGCAGCTTTGATACTGGTGTGGTAGCTATTGTTGTACGAGAACTCGACCAAGGGTAGATGTGTGTCCCATGCTTTGCCAAAATCGATTACGCAGGCTCTCAGCATGTCTTCTAGGGTTTGTATGGTTCTCTCGCTCTGGCCGTCGGTTTGAGGGTGATAGGCGGTACTCATGTCTAGTCTTGTCCCCAAAGCTCTTTGTAGCGACTGCCAGAATCTTGAGGTGAATCTACTATCTCGGTCCGAGATAATGGATACGGGCACACCGTGCAGTCGTACAATTTCCCTGAGGTACGTCCTTGTTAACTTCTCCAATTTATCCGTCTCTTTGATCGGTAGGAAATGCGCTGATTTAGTTAACCTGTCGACAATTACCCAAATGGTGTCGAGTCCGTTTGTCGTTTTGGGTAACTTGGTTATGAAATCCATAGTTATCCGCTCCCACTTCCATTCGGGTATTTCTGGTTGTTGTAATAAACCTGAAGGCTTTTGGTATTCTATTTTGACCTTAGCGCACGTCAGACATTTACTCACGTAGGTAGCAATTTCGGCTTTCATGTTCGGCCACCAGTACAACTTCTTGAGGTCGAGATACATCTTGTCGGAGCCGGGGTGTATGGAGTATCGTGTTTTATGGGCTTCGTCCATGACGATTTCTCTGAATCCACCAAACTTTGGTGTCCATATTCGATCCATGAAATAACGAACTCCGTCGTTCTTGGTTTCAAGATTCTTATCCATTCCCCTTAGGGTTTCTCCTGCCACATTTTCAGATTTCAAGGCTTCTATTTGGGCTTCCTTGATTTGCGTGGACAGGTGGGAATGGATCGTCATAGTTAGGGACTTCACTCGGCGACCTGAGTATTCCTTCCTACTGAGTGCATCCGCCACTACATTAGCCTTTCCGGGGTGATATCGAATTTCGCATTCGTAATCACTTAGTAGCTCTACCCACCGTCTTTGTCTCATGTTGAGTTCTTTCTGGTTGAGAATATGTTGAAGGCTTTTATGGTCAGTGAAGATCGTGCATTTTGTGCCGTAGAGGTAGTGTCTCCATATCTTTAGAGCGAAAACGACTGCTCCTAGCTCAAGATCGTGCGTTGTGTAGTTCACTTCATGCGTCTTTAGTTGTCTTGAGGCATAGGCGATGACCTTCCCTCGTTGCATCAGGACACACCCGAGTCCTTGGTTTGATGCATCACAATAGACCACGAAGTCCTCCGTCCCTTCTGGCAGGGTTAGGATGGGCGCACTACATAATGCTCGTTTTAGCGTTTGAAATGCGGCATCTTGTTTTTCTCCCCAGTCGAAGGTCACATTTTTCTGAGTTAGTGTGGTGAGTGGCTTGGCAATCTTGGAAAAATTCTGTATGAACCTTCGGTAATACCCGGCGAGTCCTAAAAATTGTCGGATCTCTGTAGGGGTTCTTGGATCGTCCAATTCTCTATTGCCTTGATCTTCGAGGGATCCACGTGTATTCCTTCCTTGCTTACTACGTGTCCTAGAAAATCCACCTCTCGAATCCAAAATTCGCACTTGGAAAATTTTGCATAAAGTTTCTCTGCCCTTAATGTTTCCAGAACTTGGCGGAGATGTTGGCTGTGTTCTTCCTGGTTTCTAGAATAGATGAGTATATCATCTATGAACACGATCACGAATTTGTCCAGGAAGGGGCGACATACTCGGTTCATCAAATCCATGAACACTGCTGGAGCGTTTGTCAATCCGAAGGGCATCACTACAAACTCGTAGTGACCATATCGTGTTCGGAAAGCCGTTTTGGGGATGTCTCCTTCTAGTACTCGTAGCTGGTGATAACCGGATCTTAGGTCGATTTTCGAGAAGTAGCTCGCTCCTTGTAGTTGGTCAAAAAGATCGTCTATACGTGGAAGGGGATATCGGTTCTTGATTGTCAGTTTGTTCAGTTCTCGATAATCGATGCACATGCGAAAAGATCCGTCCTTCTTTTCACGAACAGGACTGGTGCACCCCATGGTGAGAAACTTGGCCTAATGAATCCCTTGCTCAACAGCTCGTTCAATTGACTGGACAGTTCCTGCATCTCGGCTGGAGCTAAACGGTAAGGTGACTTTGCTACTGGGGTGGCTCCGGGAATCAAGTCGATTCTGAATTCGACTTGACGTTCCGGT